CTCGATCCTGGGCAAGCTGTTCGAGAAAATTATTCTGGGACTGCTTGCCTTTGCCACCTTTGAAGCAGTTATGTAGAGTTGGGCTGGAAAGGATTTTAATTAGAGCTGCACTGATACATCGGTCCGATATTGGATCAGTACAGATATAAAGAAAAATGTCTGTATCGGAAATGGGTCTAATATGGCCAGTAATGTGGCTGATAAATGGTCCATGTATGCGCACAGCCATAGCGCAGCATGCAGGTGGTGAGGAGCACAGCCCGGCAGCTTGAAGAGCAGTGTCTAGCTGGTAAGGCAGTGGTGGTGGAAGGGGAGGGGGAAGATAAAGGCCCCTGTGGTGAGGGAGGAATGGGAGTAGGGCTGGGGCAGAGGCTAGGGCAGGCACTGCCCAGCCGGGATGGGCCAGGCATGGGACGGAGCCGTGGCTTGTCCAGGGGCGTGGGGGCAGGGGACAGGCAGCTCCTGCCACTGTGCGCCACTTGTCCGGGAGCTGCTTGTCTGGTGGCTCATCTGGTGCTCAACTGCTTGTGCAGTGACTCCTGCTGCCGCTCCTGCTGCTTATCCGGGAGGGCATGAGGGGGAGCGTGTGCCCCCAGATCTGTGAGGGGTAGGGTGCATTCTTCCTGGCAGAGGCTGGGCTGGGCTGCACTCCGGGCAGGCAGTGGCATAGCTGGGAGGGGGCTCCGGGAGGCGGGGGGGAGGGAGGACTGCAGTCACCCCAAAAGTCATGATAGCGCCCCCATCCCCCCCTTTCAGCACCACTGCTGCCACCCGACCTGAGCGCAGCTTGGCCCAGGCTCCCCTGCTCTTCAAGCTGCCATCCTGGTATCAGAAATTGACTTGGTATTGGCCGATATGCCTCCTTAAAAATCGGCTATCGGTATCTGCCCCAAAAATCTCTATCAGTGCACCCCTAATCTTGATTGCATGGTTCCACACTGAGAAGTACCATGCCTCTGGGCTTTTGAGAAACCAGATCTGAGACCTTCACGAGTACACACAAAGGCACAAGTCTGGACCCAGAGAGCTAAAAAAGATAAATTCTTACAGGATGCAGCATTCAGTGGTCACAGACAAGGGAAAGGAAAGTGAAGGGCAGTAATAAAATCATTCCTTTGCTCCAAAGTAGTGTAAGGATATCATGGTTAAGGTGAGGATTGTTATTCTGTTACACTGTCGTTTTCTTAAAAAAAAAAAAAAGAAATATCTAAGTCCTTTAGCATATACCAGAAGGTACATGTTTAGGAAGGAGTTTAGTGAGTGGAGTTTCAGTAGAGGCTACATAGATAGCTGTTTTCTAACTGATCGAAGGGTTAAGTATTGCATTACAATCAGGGTCAGATCAAAATCTAGGGTCATAAACCAACAAGGAAAATTACTCCTTTAACAAGACACACAGGAAGTATTTCAGAATCAGGAGGGGGATGTAGAATGATCTTATAAAAATCATTGTGTGCAAAAAAAGGAGCTGAAGAAAACATTAAAGGAAGAGGCCTAGGAAGTTCTCAGAACATTTTTGTTTAGAGTGGTGTAACGTGAAAGTACAGTGAATAAAAACAAGACTTTTATCAGGGTCTTGCCTAAAGGCTTTATACTGGGCGAGCTCTGACCAACAAACTCCCTTTAAAAGAACATTTGTGAGAGTTTCTTTTTTAACTAGTGCATTTTATAATTGAATTCTGCATAACTGGACAAAGAAGGAAATCAAAGTCCCGGTCTGGTCAAACGGTCTCTGAAAGGAGATGTCTCGTTTTCTTAGGTAAAGGGTACTTTCTATTGTTGGTTTCTAAAATAAATGCATAAATAATGGCTGTCTGCTAGATCTTGCTATTGCTAAGGTGATTTTGGTACTTCTGTTGTAATCCTCTGTTTTCATGTGCTCAGAAACCTTCTGAGCTTCTGCTTTAGTCTGAATACTTGCACATTTTTCTCCAGCCTAAAAGGAAATTATTTTGAGACATCTGAGCAACAACATTTCAGTTCATTTTGGAGATGGAGAGAGCAAAAAATACATGCTTTGAGGCAACTGTTCAGATGTGAGAAATAGTTCTGGCTGTGAAGGTGGGCAGAGTGTAGGATATGTGATTACTGGGGTAGAATAAATGTGCTTTGATCATGCTGGTGTGATGGGGAAGGGGGTCCAGCTATGGTTTTGCTGCATCCAATGACTCAGTGTGAAGAGACAGCCTTCTAGAGGTGAATCCTGCAGCTGCCAGCTTGTACCAGCTGGGAGTGAGAAAGTGCTCCCATGTCCCAACATCCTTTGCACTTTGAAGGGGAATTTCTTTGAACAAGAAGTCCTTTTTTACAACCCCAGTTTAACAGAGTTTTTACAGATCTACGTAAGTGCAGCTCTCTTCAGCAGAGCACTTAAATATATGCATAATGTAGGTTTGCTTACATGTTATTGAAATCAGTAGAATTTAAGCACATACCTAATTTTAAGCTTCCCACTTTGTTTTTTCCAGCTGCTTTGCCCGCTGTTCCTGTGTTCTTCACACCATAAAGCAAATTCTCAAGACCAAATCTAAAGCCTACTGAAATCAATGGTCGAAATTCCTGTGGGACCAAAATGGGGCCCAAAGCACTTGGGCAGGTATTCCAATGGGGCCCAAAGCACTTGGGCAGGTATTGCAGTCAATGGCTGTATCCAGACAAATGCAGCTGTGCGGCATGTGGTACCACAGACCCATCTGCAGCCCCACACTCCACACATTCAGGTGTTCCCTCCACTGCTATCTTGAATCACCTGTATTTCAAATAAGCAAATGGGTATAGTTTGCTTGTAATGGTAATATACATGCTTTTGTCACTGAGAAAACAGCAATTAGAATGGGTTTTTGCATTTGTATTGGCTCCGGAAAGGTTCTTCTTGGCCAAGCCAAAGATTTCACATCTGTCCACTACAGCCGTAACAAAAAGTATAGCTCTGGAAACGATTGCAACACTTCCAAGGGTTGCTCAACTGCAAAGGGGTTAGTATCGTCAGAGCCATTTCATAGGCTTACAATACGTGCTACTACATGCAGGTGGAAAGCTTATAAAAAGAGAGTGTTTGATTTTTGACTCATCACCATAAATGCTAACAGCTTGTGCCACTTTGACATGTTGCACAATCGGCCTGGTTATGAGTTCAGTGTAAACACATCAGCCTTTTTAGAGCAAGTCAGTATTTGGATGTTTATCCTCTGGCAAGCTTCTTATAGTTTGTGATCCCCAAATGAATCTCTCTTACCATCACAGAATCACTTACGTGCAGGAAAATCCTATTTCCTAATAGCACAGGACTCTATCAGTTCACTTCTGCTGTTCCTTCACACAGTGAACTTTTTGCATTGGAGTACTGCAACTGTATGGTCTTCATCCAATGTGCCAAGCAGCCAGATGCGAGAGGGGAAGCTTTACAACTGAATTGATCCCAGGTAGTATTTAAAACCTGACAGAGACTATAAGTTGCCTGTGGATTCTACAGGATGAATGAATGAACACGAAGTAAATATTACAATTAATCCTCAGTTACAAGGTGAACAAAACCAAGATACTATGTATAGATTCTCTCTCTCTCCAATGTCAAAGGTCCCACAAATATTACCCTAGGAACCTATCTTCTCTGTATGTGAAGGGTTAAGAAGAAATGCATTTCATGCCTAGGTGCACATCTCCTGATGGTAGGGAGAAGCGATTTCCATTTCCGTGATATAATAGAAAAGTGACTCATCTCTCCTCCAAATACTACTTTGAGTATGTTGGCATAGAATACAAGCCTATACAGTGCACTTATGTTTCTTAGGAGCTCATTAGGACATACAGTTTGTGTCAAGTGCCTAATAGTAGATGTGATGGAATATTAATACTTTAAAAAAGATGTGAGAATTCTTTGGTGCAGAGCATCCAGGTAAATGAATACAGTCATTATCACTGGCTTTTTCACTATCTTTTTAAAGAATTTGTTACCAAAAAAGGAACCTGGCAAGATTCTGATCTCACTCCCATTGGTGTAAATTGAAAGTGACTCCACTACCTTCAGTGTTTGAATAAGTCTGCCAAATGTAATTTTTAACTTTCAGAGATTGAGAACTTTGACACATTCTGTCCATGCTACACAGTGGGTGCATCTACTTGTGCTTTTAGTGGGGGCTAAAGTACAGGGCTAGATGGCAGACAGCTCTCACACTTTAGCACCCTCATGCACCAGCCAACCCGTCACTGTTGACATGTGCATTTCAGCGCATGTAATTACTCCGTCATGGGATAGTACTGTGCCTGACAGTACTATCTTATGGCAGAGTTAGTTAATTTACTCCACTTAAATACCAGTGCACATGTAGACCGTGATGCTTTACTGTGGTAGTCGACTCCCACAGCAAAGCACAAGTGAAATCCCTACTGGTGTCCTAGGACCAATTGCTAAATGACTCACCTCTTACAAGGCCACAGAGCTGGAGACTGAAATATTTAAGCCACCAGGGTAAAAATCCATGTGGAGACATGTATATAGTGGAGACATTCATGTGGAGACATATATAGTTTCTTTATAATTAATATATAGGCTTCTGGCCAAAATAAACCAAATTAGTACAAAGGGTTTAGAGTGGAAAACTCAGCCCATTTAGTGCCACATGCCCCTTTCAAATAGATGCATGTCACTCCCATTGAACCATCTGAAAGACAACATTTAAATTTTTGTTGTCATTGGTTTCCCAATCTTTACTTTAGTCTCTCCGCAAACACTGCAATTCGTGAAGCATTTCCATAATCATTTACTCCTATTTGGAAGTGCCAGGTAGGCTGAACAGTGTAGAAACAGGCCTTGCTCTCAGTGAAAGACAGAGGTGTTGCTTATAGAACTGCCAGACAAATTGAAGTAGTGAGCCAGAAAAGA